TTTCCTAAATCGACTTTAACATTTTTCAATGGAAGGATTTTAACGTCTGTTTGTTAACCGACTTTAACATCCAAAGTTAATTGTTAATGTATGATCCACTAAACAAAGGCCCATGATCAATTTATTATTATTTAAAAAAAAAATATTCCCAATTCTCTGAGTTTACGATTGCGAAACGAAACTCAATCCCCAGAGCTCCAAATCCGTTTTCAATGATCGATTACCGAAATTGGGAATCGATTTCTTTCAAGTTCTAGAGTTTCTGACCTAAGCGTCTCATCGATTTAGTCTTTTGAATCGTTTGAAATCAATTTCCATTTCATCTCAAATGCGCAGATCTAACATCGAGTTTCAGAAGCAACAGTAAAGGTTCGCTCGGTAGAAATTTGCTGCGTTTTTTGATGATGCAGATTGATTCTAATAGTTAATTTTGTTGACATGATAGTTTCGTACAAATCTGTGCTCGTGTGAAGGGATACGCTGTTCGTTGGTTCTTTTGTGAGCTTCGTCTACCAGGTATATCTTCTCTGTGCGTTTTTGTGTTTTCCTTTAAGTATCTTCTGTATTCGTCCATTTCTATTTTGATTAGTCTATATTGGCTACTCATTTGAATGTCGTTTGATGCCATTCTTTGGATAAACTCTCTTTTTACGCGGAAGTAGATGGCTGTGTTAAATTTTATGTTAATCACGTTTTCTGTCCAATATAGTCAAAGCAAAATAGCTCGTATGATGCTTTATGTTCTGTTTCTTTACCTCTTTGCTTCATCTAAAATGTCCTATCAAGGATTCTGGAGGTTTGTTTGGCTCGTGGTTAGGCTCACTGAGTAATGTACATTACACTGATTGTAGGAAAATTACCAACTACAGGAAAGAGATGGCTTGGAAAATGATTCAGGTACTTTTCCTTGTTTCACGTATATCAAAATAATGTCATACTTGAAAGTGACAATGCTGATGTCTTTTCAAACTTCTTGGTCTTAACTATTTCTATATTTTGTGTTCACTTTTGTAATAAACACAGAAAAAATTATGGTTTCATGATCCAAGTAGGAGGAAGAAATATGTTTTGTCTGAGTCCTTTGCTGGCAAAAAAAACAGAAGGCCCTCCTCGAGAGAGATATCAGCAAACAGGAGTCCTTTGCTGGCAAAAGACGGGACTCTTTTTTTTTGAAAGAAGTGCAAACCAGTTGTTGCAGGTATTATCAAGAGATTTCTTTTGCCACATGATTTCTTTTGTTTAAACACTGCTGTGAGCATGTCTGATAAAAGTTGTTATTTCTATCTTTGGTATCTTTTCTCAGTGGTTATCCATAGCAGTCCTTTTGGAGCACTCAAAATACCCAACTAGAACATCTGCAAATATATGTCAACGAGCTTGTATGTCTTTTCATGCAATTGATGATTGATTTATACGTTGTTGATACTGAAGTTGAAGCCTTTACTATTTGCTCTAACAGAGGAAAACCCTTTTCTCAACTTTTATCATGCTCTTTTAGGTTCTCAATCCCTTTAAACTTTTAGGCAAAGAGGGAGCTGGAATATTGCCGACTTGAAGGTGTTACACTTGCTGATAGGCTAAGATGTTCTGAGGAAAATGCTAAGCAGGAAAAAGAATGCAGGTTTGTACTTTTCAATTCTCTTACTTTAGAAAGTGAAATTTTTTTATCTCTTTTACCCTCTGAAAATAACTCTTTTTAAGCTTTTGGGCACTTGGTTTTTCTCTATCTCCCTATTTGATGTTATCCCTTCTCTGACTTCATTGTTGGTATGATAAAGTGTAATTTTTTACAGCTGAATGCAGTAGTTGGCAACACAAAGTTTAACATAAACCTTCATCAAACATCTAGTATCAACAGTGACCACGAAAGTGGCATTTCCAAGACTGGACTATGAGCTTGGATTTCACTTGAAAACTGGTATGTTAATATTACACCATAGTTTCTGGTTCGTTCTTGCAAGTTCGTTTGTTTCATTGATGATGTGAGGAGATTGTCTCTAAATGCCTCAACTAGTATTTGAATATGTTTTCTGCATTAGTTAGATTTGTTGTTTCATTGTTATGTAATCATTTCAGGAAAAAGCATCAAGTTGAGGATCTGGAAAAGCTGTGTATTAAGAAAAATCCATGAAGACAGTACATATAGGTATACTATATGAAAAAAATTGTAGTTTCAATGACATTTGCATTTCTATGTAAAAACAGATTTATTTGAATAATTTGAATTGTTATTTGAGTAATCATTTGAAATCTTTGTTAATTAGAGTGTATATTATATATATATATATATATTTAATTAGCAAAATAGTTAAAATTAATAAGTGGAGCTTACGTCGGTTGTATGACTGGCTTAAAAAAAATATGTAGTTTGTTTCACGTCACTTAAAAAAACTTTTGGTTTACGTTGTTAAACCGACCCAAATATTCTGACGCTAAAGTATGCGTCATTCTGAAAAGCGAAGCTAAAGTACTTAACGTCGCACGTTATTACGACGGTTTTAAAAGTGACGGTATTTGGTTTAAGTCGGTTAATTAGTGACGTGAAGCTCAATAATAACCGACGTTATAGACCGCGTTTTTTGTAGTGATGAGTCTCTTGTTTTTTTCTCTCTCCCTAAAAATAATACTAAACAATTGCTAAGAGATACTAAGTGAGTATCATTAGTGGAGATGCTCTGTAGGTTTTAGATTTGATGAGTTTCATTTTGTCCCGAGACTTAAAACTCAAACTCCACTCGAGTTTTCTCTATGTTCATATATGATTTTTTTGTTTATAACTTTATACACAAGATTTCCACATTCTTCCAGTTCCATCTAAAGAGATCAATTGGAAACATCATCGAGGTACCGTCTCCGTTCCCCTTGTGGTATCTCAAGCAGTTAATGAAAATCCATACCTGGAAAGATCAATACGAAAGAAACTTAATCAGACTCAATGCTTTGAATCAAAGCTTTTCTCATCAGGATTTTTTGATAGATTACCAGCTTTCTTGGCAGCACGGAAAAGAAACCGTTATTTTGATCCTAATCTATGATTGGTAAGGAGACGTCTCTTTTGTAATTGATTTGCAAACATTTCAAGAAGCGCATTATTCCATCTACGCTGCAAAAAGATTTGTATCCACAAAGTTCAAAATTTAGATCCAATCCAAGAAATGCAGAGCAGATACAAAACATTCTTGACTAATGTTCAAATCTTATATCACCAAGAATGTTAAGTACCTGCGCGAGCGATGTAATTGGTTCTTTTTTTTAAAAGTGATGTCACAGCGATTTAAGCCAGGCGTATAACGGTAAAAGCATTAGTGGAACCCAAAGTCGACGAACAGACAAGAGAGAGAGAGTGGTGGCTCGAGGAAAGTCGCGTTTGTTGCGTATAGCCCAAATCCCGCCTTTTTGCTTTTCACCCTTCGTTATAAAAACTTTCCCCTTCTCTCTCTATATATATATTTTTTCTTTCTCTTCGAGGAGATAAAAAACTGGAGAAATTTTTAACTGGTGCTCGGAGAATCTGGAGTTTTAATTTTATCTTTGCCGATCTCCATCCTGAATTTCGATCCGATTCTCTGTTTTCTTTTCACCTGGTAAAGAATTTGAATTAACTCGTCTGTTCCTGTCTCATGTTTTTCTGCATTTTGCTTGATTTGTTTGTTGTTCATTTCCGAATTGCTTGATCTTGTTTAGTTTTGGAGGATTTTAGATGAAATTGACTATTTTTACAATATAGAATTGAACAGAGATGAGTCGGCATAATTTTTTGAATTGAATAGGTAGTCTCAGCAAGGCACGATAAATTAAAGGGAGAAAATTATGTCACTAAGTATATTGAATCTGTGAATTTCCTTGGTATAGTCAATCTCTTGCGTAATTCAAGTTTACCAAGACCATATCTTCTTACAGATGTTTTTGTCTTGTTATCATTATATGGCAGGTATCGTTTGGGCTACAAGTTATATTGACGAAAAGGTGTGTCTTTAAATAAAGAAACTGTGGTTTTATTGTGATAAAGTGTGATCACAATTACAAAAGCAAATAACCACCAGGAGAAAGGGAGGATAAGTCAGCATTGATTAAGGTTAGTCTTTCTTCTTCTACAAGAAATTGTTGTGGTTGAATTAAATCAAATCTAGATCTTGGGAATTAAATTTTAGAGATGAAATCATAAAAGGAATTTACATAAATAAGAAAAAGAAGAAGGTTTAACCGTTTAATACAAGGAGCAAAAGAAACCTTTGCACGTACGTGAATGATATGGAAGTTGGAAAGGATGGCTTTCTGCTACACTAAAATGTTTCGTCAAGTTGAAATGTCAGTACACGTAACTGGGAAGTGGAAAGTGGAGAGAGATCAAATAGATGAGAGCCAAGTCTAGTTGCTTTCTTCAGGGGTGGGACTAACAGTTTCGATGATCTAGGGGGCGTAAATAATATTTCAAAAAGTTAGTAAGCATTTTTGCAATTTAAATCGTCTAAAGAAAGTCGATTGTCAAGTCTTATTTTTCCATGAAGCATATGATCTCGCTACTTTAAATAATATTGGTCCGGGTAAACATTAATGAAGTTAATGAAATTGCTTCTATACTTTAAAAAAAAAAAGAAAACCATTAAAAAAATATACTTTACTGGCAGTCTTTGATGCAAAAAAAAAGAAACAATTAATTTCATAAAAATTGCAGTTTTAGTGGAATAACAAATACAGGTGATAAGACCAGTAAACGAACAGTTTGTTTTCGCTATTTCAAATAAGCAATTTTACAATTAGTGTTTTCAGCATTGAAGCCCTCTTTTGTTTCTTCTTTTTTTATTGTTTAAAGTTTAAACAAAACGATGTTGGTTATTGTTCGAATTAAAAAAATAGCGTGTTTTCGACAAACACGAAACATTACTTCCTTTCGTCAATTTTGAAAAGGAAAAAAATTTGCAATCGGTTATTTTGCTGTATTCCAAATTTCCAATTTGACACATCTCTGACTTCTTCTTCTCCTTTGGTTAGTTTTCTTGATGAAGCCTCATAAAGTAGAGTGCGATCTTCAATCCCTGAGAAGACTATACGGTCTTCTCCGATCAAATGCAAACAACGAGTCCATACCCCAAGCATTTTTGGTGAGTTTATCTCTGTAATCATATATATATATTTCTATCATCGATCACTCTTTACATCAGAAACTTTGCATTTGCAATTCACAGTTAGATGAGAATACACAGTTTCTACTAAAGCGTTTGCTCGATTCTGCGACTGATGAACTTTTGGCTAGACAATCCAAGGTTAGTATCTATCTGTTCTTTGCATGCTTCTTGTTGTTTTCATGTTTCTGCTCTAACTGTAATCTTAAAATAAGTTTGGTTACAGATACTTGCACAAGTGCAGTTGGGTTTGCCAGAGAGGATTTCTACATCAAGTAAAAACTCAATCAAGGAATTAGCCTCAAGGGGTAGTGGTATCATCAAATTGCCTAGCAAGGCAGGTTTAACAGAGGAAGTCGTTGATTCTATCGAACGAATCGAAACACAGCTTTCTGCTTTTCGTTTTTGTACTACTCGTGTGGACTCTCATGACGATAGAGCAAGGTTGTGTAAGCCTCCAAGCATGTCTCCCATGGAAGATTATTCTTCTTCTGGAACGCCTTTTCAAAGGTCAAGCGAGGGAGCGTTGATGAAAGCAAGACAAAGCAATCAAGCTTCTGTGTTTGGTTTAAGGAGCAATTACATGATGCCAGCAAGTAAACAAATGAGTCGGGATCCAAAAACCTCGAATATAACACCGAGGCTGACAAGTGTGAACAATGCTGCAGAGGCAAGCCATGATGATCCAACTTTGCTTCTTCAGTCACAAGGAAGCTCTTCTCTTGATGATCAGTTTGTTCGAGTCAGGTCACGTCTTCCATTACCGCCTCGTCCTGTGAGATCCGTTGGTTTCAAGAAGCCAAGTCAGAGTAAGAGAACGTCACAAAAGATGAAACCAACTTTGTTGGATCAAGGAACTGAGACTTGGGATGAAGATTCGATTGAAACTGAGAGTGGCGAAGAAACAGAACAAGAATCAGAAGAAGAAATCTCTGGGGAAATAGGGTCAGCCTCTGGCTCAAGCTGGGAAACTAAGGCAGAGAGTGTAACCGAGTCAGACTCATCAGACTCACCAGAGAGTGATAGTGACTCTCAAGTCAGTGATTCTCCTCCACATAAAAGGAGAGACAGATCAAGCGATTATGCAAAAAAGAGGAAGAAGACGATAGGGCGGTTTAAAAGACTCAAGGAAAAGCTAGGTCAAGTATTTCACCATCATCACCACCACCACCATCACCATCACCACCGCGACAAGGAGGAAGACCACAACTCATCAGCTTGGAAGGATTTTCAGAGGAAATTTCAACAAAAACACAACGAGAAATCAGTCGAGAGACGAAGAAAATCAGAATCCAGAGGTCTGACTACACAAAAGAACAGAGGCGGGCAATTTCATGCGCTAGTGGAGGGTTTGATGAGACATAGAAGACAATCAAAGAAACAAAAGCACAAGTTGCAGAGCCATGGCAGGAAAACGCATTGGTGGCAAACCCGTAAGCGTCGACGAGGTGGTATCAGGTTTCTCAACAGAGGGCGGGTTAAGCTAGGAAAAACAAATTATTTGTGTAATAAGGATTAAGAATGAAGAAAACTAGTCTAAAAAATCTAAGGAAATTAGCGGAGCAAAATAATTGTAGAAACTTAAAGCTGCAAATTTTATCTCTCCTGAATGATGTTGCAAAATATCATCTCTTTATCCCATTATAGAACTAAATCTCCAACAATCAAAGCTGAGATTTCATTTGATAGTACATATATACCGTTATAATTGATTTGGTTCATTCAAAAACCATAGTTGTATTTACCTTTAGAATTGTTCTTTGTGGAACTCGAACCTGGAACATCCGGTTTGGTTAAATTCATGACAGAGTGTGGAGAGTTCCTTCCCTAAACTCGGTCCTCCACAATAAAACACTCCTGTTCCAATCAAAACATTCTTAACATAAGGCAAATACGGACCAAAATCAATTCTTAATTCTGTGAGCTGAATATATATTTTATTCTTGTGTACCAATTCTTGTGTTCTTATGCTTGGTGCTAATCTTTGATAAAACCTTCTTCCATTTTGGTCTCCCAAAATGCGTCCGTACCTAAAACCAAAAAGTTGCAGACAACATAAGAAACCTGAGTGTTGTTAATAAAAGATAAAAAGTAATCGTTAAAGATCATTGCCTTGGTTCCAGAGAATATGTCGACACCATTTTTGGCGTGGTTCAGCGTCTGGATCATGGTGAGAAGAGTGGATCGAGCATCACCTTCGTCGTAGACACTCGTCAAGTAGTTGTGCATTTCAATAACACCCTTTTATTTGTTTACAAGACAGTTATGTTAGTAGTGGACTTGAAAATATCTAAGCTTTTGGAAGTTTTCAGATCTCAATTGTTTCAAACACAATATCTACGTTTGCATTTACATCCACGTTCGAGGTTTGAGTTGAATAACTGTATCTTACCTTTATATCGGAATCAGCAATCTCGTTCATGATTTCTCTAAACCAATCGAACGAGCCTTGTTCCCGAGTTACCCAGTAAAAGTAAGCGTTCTTGGTCTTCAACGTCCTCCTTCGGTTTTGGGGAGTTCTATTCCCAGCTTGAGAGTTTAAGCAACTGAAACTATGATCCGACGAGATGTTGCTGTTACTACAACTACCTGAGAGGCATTCCTAAAAATATAACATAACTCGGGAGAAAAAGTTAGTTAAGATTCTGTTAATCCTCAAAAAGGTTTACTTAATTTCATACTCACGGCTTGTTCTTGTTGCTTAACGATGTTGTTAAGTAGATCTCTCAAAATGCTAATGAAAGGTGTTGCGCCGATTCCAAGGCCAACGAGTAACAACACATCATACTTCAAATGGTCTTGCGCGGGAGCACCATAAGGTCCATCGATCAATAGCTCTGGCACACTAAATTACAAGAGAGGATACCATATTCACAAATGGTGCCTTGACAAAAAATTCTGAGAATACAGGTCTATAATAAATATACAGAATTCAAAGTTTTAATGCACCTTGTTTTGTTTGGTCCGTCTGCTCTGAGCAGTCCGCTTTTTCCAGCTTCAGGGGCTTCACATACCACTGAAAATACTTTCTTAATTCCTTCTGTCCAATCACCGAGCTGTCGAATGTGAATGCTGAGATAATCATCTCCAGGTGAAGAAGTGATAGAAAATGGATGCCTGGAGATGGATTTTAAGACCGAGAAGCTCTAAGTAAAGAACATAGTTTGTATATACTCTTAGATCGCAAGCAGAGCTAATGGCTTGGGAAAAAAAAAAAGACTCACCACTCAAATTTGGATACTGCAGGACACTGAACAAATATATATTGTCCACTCTTGTAATCAAATGATGTAGGCTTAGACATGTGTAGCACAACAACATTTCCAGGATATATAACAATCTGAAACCAGATCATTTGAGTTGGTATAAAGAAATTAGATGATTTACAATGTGTCTATTCATGTGATTCTGTTCAATATGTAACTGTAAACGAGACTTTACCTTGCAGATGTCGACAGTGTAAAGCCTGCAACGAAAGAATCTCAGGATCCTTTCCCCAGCATAGAGTAAAACCGGCACCGCAAGATACATCCATATCTGCAGGAGGCCGCATCTGTTATTACCACCGATTATCTAAAAAAATGTAAGAAGTAAAAATGGTAAAGAGTTCTATGGAATTTACCGTCTTGCGGTACCATTTCTCCTCGAGATAGAGGAAAACACCGTGGATAATTAACAGGACGTAAACAGCTAGAAGTAAGTGATGAGAATACCAGAAAGCATTAAACCCGGTTAGCTTGTCAAAAGGCTTTGGCAGCTTAGTTATGTTCCGCCTGCATCTTCGACTGGCTAATGTGAATGCAATTATCATAAAAGTAACCATTATAAATCCAGTGATTCCAACAGGATTTTTAACCAAGTCTAAGTATGTGGGTTTGGTCACACCAAAGTAATGAACCAAGTATCTTTTGTAATCAGCCTCTGTAGATGATAGAATCCTTGGGAAGTCACAAGCGAGGTGGCTGGCTGCATGAAGAACCATTGCAATAATGATTGCTACTGAGATCATCTGCGTATAACCAAATACCAAAACAGTAGGATTCAGATGAAGAAGCATAATCTCTCTCACATATGAAAGGCAGGACAAAATGTGTTTTTACTTAACCTTGTGAAAGTTGATACTGTCGTCGAAAGGCACTGAGTAGGACAAAGCGGTGGATCTGAGGTAGGTGATAGTATTTCTGCAGACGGGCAAAAGGATAAGAGCCATGTTGAATTTTAGTGTCTCAGCTGCACCTTTTGCCGCGACAAGGCAATAACCCATAACATGGAATGCGTCTTTGCGTTTGTACTGTGCGCATTTCCACATAAACAACCCCGTCATGATCATTAACCACAATGTCAAAACCCAAATCCTCTTCCAACTGTCTTGCAAAGAGTAAAGCAAGTTCCTGCTAATTCCCCATCTTGTATCCTTTAGATTTTGGCTCAAGGCTCGGCTTGTTTGGCTGTAAGGTTGGCTGTAACTATGCGGTGTGTCTTTCTGTAGTAGTAGCATCTCTAGATCCTTTAACTGCATCATTTTAAATCCACAACAAAGACATCATATTAGAATGTTAAACAGAGTTCCTTGGACTGACACTTGAAGTGAAATAGTTATTTACTACCAACCTTGTGTAGGTCTCAAACAGGTAAAAAAAGGTTCAAACAAGTAGACAGGCTCTCGAACAATATTTTAACTCTAAATTTATCTGAACTCCTAATGATACCCGAAAACGACACTGTACCAGTTAAGATTGGTTTTGATAATCAGTTACAGCTCTATTTGTGGACGTTTGTCTTCGTCAAAATTTTATTCTATTAATTCCATACAAAAACAAACTTGCATAGCACTTAGCTTTAAGCTCATTGGTTTCTTGACCCAGTCAAAAGTCCCTATCAGAGAACTTGAAAGGTAAGATCTCAGCGTCATCAATTACTATGGTCAAACCGACAAGGAACCCTTCTACACTAAATCAATAACTTTATGGTCTTTTTTTTTTTTTTTTGAAGGGGTCTTTATTATTTAAGCATGTTTTGTGTTATGAACTTTCACAAAATGTGAGATGAAAGTAATGGAAGCACCTCTATGTACTGAGAGTGGATCCCATCAGGGGACAGTTCTTCCATGATCAGTGCTGCATATTCTTCTGCTCGCTCTCTCAACCTTGATAGATTATTTGCCGATGCACTTAGTATAATTATCTATAAGGTTGTCAAAATCAAGGAAATTCATACAAATTGTTAATGCCAAGAAGAATCTTCTACTAGAAAGATTCAACGTAAACTTAGTGGTTGTAGGAAATAATATATGGAGTGGTAGTTAGTCAGTTAAGAACCCTTCTTCTAATTAAGAAAGCTGTTACAAGGTCAATCAAACTTTATGTAGAAAAAAAAATGCAACTTAATTAAGTCTTCTATTCTTGCATTGGTTAGACAGGAGACATGGAATAGAATCATATCAAGACCAACCAAAAAAAAATAACATTTTGCTCTAAAATATCAGCAACATGGTCATACAAATATAGAAAGATATTCAACTGATGGAGGGATAATGGCACACATGTAAGATTCATTATATATAAAACCTAAGGCCGTAGGTTTTGCTTACGCTTGGATGTAAATCGCAGTCAACGATTTATGATTTGATACTAAATAAGGAAGATAGAACATAAGTCACCTCTAAAACCGAAAGAAGAAAATATAAGTCACCTCTTTTACTTCGTTTTCTGTGATTCTACCATCTCCATTTTTGTTCACCCTGCACAGTATTAAAAAAAATCAAGTTAATGTTGAAGAAATTTACTCAGTATGTTAAACAGATTCGATTGATGATAGAAATGAAATACATGTTGAAGAAGATTTGAAGCCGAGAATCGAAGCTTTCGTCTGTAATTTGGTACCAAAACTCGTATAGTTCTTGAAGGCTAATCTTGTCGACCATTAATCTTCTTCTCCTGCACAATGCGTCGAACAACTCCTCTGCAAACTCTTTCGAGTTTTTATTTTCCATCCCTTTCAACACATATCAACCAAATTTCACAATCTCTCCATCGATTCTCTGAGAATAAAAAAAAAAATTTCAATTTGACAAAAACGCGAAATCATGTCTAACCTATGCAATGAGCAAAATCACATCGGGAAAGATGACCGTCTTTAGAAAGGTTAGCGAATTTGCTTTGAACTTCTCTCCATCCAGCGATTCCGTTTTCTTTGCTGCTGATGAATCTCAAACCGTGAATCGCTCTCTGCGTACACGATCCATTCCGATGAGACTTGGTGAGTCTCTGAGTCAAGGAGCGACAGAGAATAGCCGGATCGGTGATTTTGTCTCCGTGAGGAACCACCATCTCCGGTGCGGATCGAGACGAATATCCTCCGCCATCTCGCCGTGAGATCCTCTGAAGCTTCTGTTTCAGAACTCTCGAGAACTGTTTCGCGTTAGCCACCACCTGGCGCTCCGACGACGCGCTCCATCCTAAGCTACGAGACGTTGATCCTGAATCGGAAATCGAGCTAGAGGTAATCTCTGGATCTGAACCGGTTCCGGTAACGGAGTTGATGTTTACTAGCCGGCCGGTCGGGTATTCAATCGTCACTTCCAGGAGCTCCTCGCCGGAGGCGGGTGAGTAAGTCGCCGGCAAGGATGGAAAGCTATGGGTGAATTCTCCGGCGGAATCCAAATCGGAGCCCCACCGATCGTCGTGAGTCTGGTCAGGAAATGACATTGACATTTCAAATCTGTTGGAGGAGAAGACACACGAGAAAGGGAGGGAGAGGAGCGAATAAATACGACTTTTGAATATTGTTTTTTGGATTCGGAGGGCGATTTAACTAAAAAGAAAATACTCTAGGGACCTGTCAGTGTAAATTCTTAAAATGCGTCAAACGGACAGAATAATCAACGGATCGCACGTGCGTAGGAGGACTTGCCACGTGCGGGAACTAGCTAGGGCCCACTTCTACGCTCCTCTGAGTTTGGATGATGAAATTTTTGTGTTTAAAAAAAAAGTTCTAGGGTTTAGGAAATTGGGTCTCTTCTCCGCTTTACCTACATAACCCTCTTTGTATCTTCTCCGTCAACGATACGAACCCAGAGACGCCGGCGGTAAAAAAATCGTCGTATTTCTCTGGATTCGGCAGGCGAGAAGTTTTCAAATTATAGGTTTCTCTTGATTTCTATTTTGTGCGTGTGTGTGAGAAAGAGAGATTGAAAGGGGTTTTGGGTTTTTGGCTTATTGCTACGATGGACGAGAGTTTACTGGACGATATAATACGGCGGCTTTTGGAGCCTAATCATGGGAGGACGGTGAAGCAGGTAAAGCTACTTGAGGTGGAGATACGGCAGCTATGTTCGGCTTCGAAAGAGGTTTTTCTCAGCCAGCCTAATCTCCTCGAGCTCGAGGCTCCTATCAAAATTTGCGGTAATACTACTCAACGAAGATACAATCTTTTTTAATCTTTCCTTGTCTTTCTCTGCTTACTCGTATTATCTTGCATACTCTTTCTTCTTCTGTTGTGTCTTTTATTTTTGACAAATGTTTAGCTTTGTAAGTATGTCTTTGGGGAGTTAAGCTTTGTTTTGAGCTATACGCTTACATTGAATAGATTTGAAATAGGTATGTTGCGAGTTACTTAATTGCTTTGTAACTTCAAGTAGAGTTTTTTTTTTAGTAGCGAATAAGTTACTTGTGAGTCTCTGAGAAACCATGTTCCTTAGCTCTGATGCATAACCTGAGATTGGATTCTAGCCTGACATATTACACGAAAAAAGCTTCATTTGATAGCTAATGATTTTGTTTACTAGTTGATGAATTTGGAGTATGATAATTGTATCCCCCTGCACTTTCCACTGTGCTTACAATAAACCCTCTCTGCTGCTATCAGAACTGTTTGATATATAATTATTGTTGACGATTTCAAATCTTTATGTTGATGAGCAGGTGATGTTCATGGTCAGTTTCCAGACCTCTTGCGGTTGTTTGAATATGGTGGGTATCCTCCAGCTGCAAATTACTTGTTCCTCGGGGACTATGTTGATCGTGGTAAGCAGAGCATAGAGACCATATGCCTTCTTCTTGCCTACAAGATCAAATACAAGCTCAACTTCTTTCTTCTCAGAGGCAATCACGAATGTGCTTCAATCAACCGTGTATACGGGTTCTACGATGAATGCAAAAGAAGATATAACGTGCGCCTGTGGAAGAGTTTCACTGACTGTTTCAACTGTCTGCCTGTTGCTGCTCTCATTGACGACAAGATCCTCTGTATGCATGGTGGTCTATCGCCTGATCTGAAGAGCTTGGATGATATAAGGCGGATTCCTCGTCCTATTGATGTTCCTGATCAGGGCGTTCTTTGTGATTTGTTATGGGCTGATCCTGACAGAGATATTACAGGGTGGGGGGAGAATGACAGAGGTGTCTCATATACATTTGGGCCCGACAAAGTTGCTGAGTTCCTTCAAACTCATGACCTTGATCTTGTATGCCGGGCTCATCAGGTAAAGCTAAACCACACTAGCTAGTGTATCTTGCAAAAACGGGGTTAGATTATTGAAATGGTTATAGTCTGTTTGGTGCCATTAAGATAAGTGTCCATCAACAATGCAGCATCAGCTAGTTAGTCACTGAGTATGAATAGAAAAGGCTCATGATCATAAGGTGATAGGAGAATATTGGGGGAGTTGTTCGACTTTGGAATTCACCCCTAGGCTTTCTATCTTTAATTTTTTGTTCTTATCTGTGACTTTATATTCAGAAAGTAAAGAAAAAGCATAAACCATATTACATTTATGATATAAGTGCTAATATTAAGACGTGTGTATATTCCTAGGTAGTCAAACAGAGGGCTGTAGTTTTTCACTTAATTCAATTCGTCGCTAACTGATTTCGCAGGTTGTAGAAGATGGATATGAGTTCTTTGCAAAGAGACAACTGGTGACAATATTCTCTGCACCCAATTACTGTGGTGAGTTTGACAATGCTGGCGCAATGATGAGTGTTGATGATAGCTTGACATGTTCATTCCAAATCCTCAAGTCAACTGAGAAGAAAGGAAGATTTGGATTCAACAACAATGTTCACAGACCAGGAACCCCACCTCATAAGGTGAAATACTATCTCCCTCATATATAAAATTGCATCATCGGCTTATCAGTTTTGGCAATATAGATAAGTCAACTTAAGGTTGATATGTTAATTTTTTTTGCAGGGTGGAAAAGGTGGTTAAGTCCATCATTTCAATTATGGAATCAAGAAAAGAGTGAAGCCGATGGGTTCGATTTTTTTTAAAAGTCAATGTACGTGATCGAGGCAACAGTTTGTTTTGTTAGGTTGTTTTATTATAGCCAAGATTTTGTTTTATTAGATTGTTTTGTAAGATTGATTTGTGGAACATGTTTCATAGCAATTTTCAACTGAAGGGTTTATACTTTATACATCTAGCCTTAGATCACAACGTTAGAATATCATGAAAGGCCTCGAGAAAGAAAAAAGAAAAAGAACAAAACATAAACTTGCGAGGTTTTTCTATTACAAAATCAAAAGTATCAGACCGTTCTTTAAGACCACAACGCAAGGATGAGAGAGCCAAATTCAAGCAAAACCCAAAAGAAACTTTCGTTCTTAGATTTGTCAGAATTTTTAACAAAAACAAGAAAACATGATTTGAAAGATCAATACTCCCACTTCTTGAGCTCCATACCATCTGGTGGAGTGCTCTCCACTTTCTTAGTCCCAACCTCTTTCCAGTTTGTAGACAGTACCGTCCCGTTCGACTCTGCCTGTTAAACCGAAAAGCACCCAAGAAGGTATATATCATCAGTCAAAAGGACAAAGGAAACCATGTCAAACCAAAATGACGACCAAAAGAGAGACTGGATTAGCTCACAAATGATTTGTTCATGGCTCGCCTCATGTCCTCATCTGCACTCTGGTAAATATCGCTGAAAAACTTGTTCATTGCTGCATCTCCATCTAGCTTCTCATCCTTCTCCTGCGTATTCGAAAGAGATAAGCAGAAAAATAATAAAGTAAAGGTAAAGCAAAGCCTCTAAAGTTACAAGACGAACCTGTTTCTTCACTTCAGCTTCCAGCTTGTCCCAGTCTTTTCCCGGCTTTGAAGAAGGATACACGGGCCTCTGCGAAACCGCTGCATATGAACATAAAGTTACATGAGAAGAGACCGCCTGGCTTCAGTTGTTTAAGGTTTTACAATTGCGGTTTGGAACAGATAAAATCAATTATACTGTAACTTCTGAGGTGAACTGAAGCAAAAGGGTTTCAGGGCAAAACCTGATGCGACATTGGGTTTAGGCAGAACAGCTTGTCCTTTGCCAAATTCAAGGGAGGCCCAAGTGATTATCTCTGCTTTTGCGAGACGGATCTCAACTTTGGTTGCCAATACTTCAAATCTGCACTTCTCTGGTATTATCTATATAAAGAACCACAGAAAATGATTTAGTCAAAGAATGTATTAAAGCACCACAATTTCATTACTCGAATATACCTTCCCAAACAATCTTGGCTGAAAATGATAAGCTTCCTCTCCAGCAACATCAATCACAACACTCAGCTGTACAAAAAGCCCAGATAGATATCTCAAATCAGTACACAATGTCAGACTACAAAGCGAGTTAGATTCAGTTAAAAAAAACATGCATTCATGTGAATACAGGATACTCACAATCTGGTCACCAAAGTCGATAGTTACGTTTTCCTTTGGTATTCCTTTAGCGAAAATTGTCACTACAACTTCTTCTGGCTTCTGGTAGAACTCGTGTCTGTTTAACCATCAAGTTTGAGAATATATAGTGATTCGAGAAATTAAAAAGGAACGAACACTTTTGATAACTAGACTACCTAAACATCGGTTTGGCAGGTGCAGCAGGAACTGGAACAGGAGGAACATCAGCTGCCGTTGCTAGTGGTGTTGTAGAGCTTGAAGGCAAAGTTGTTGGCATCGATGGAGCCAAATCTTTCTCTTCTTCTGAACAGAGATAAAGAGACCATATCAAAAACCTAAGCCTAGGTGCAGACAAATATTGAGAATTGTTTAGTAGTTTATGTAATACCTGCAATGCGAAGATTGCATTCATCGATCATCTTCTTAAATTTCGATTCATTTGGTGCAACGGATGCGCCCTTTTCTAGGGCTGCTTTGGCAGTACTGTATTCTTCTAGCTTCATACAAGCAGTGCTGCAAATACAGCGTAGAATTAGAAATGAATCCAATCAAGTTTAAGTATATAAACAAATCGTCATTAAACTTGATACAGAGGGCTGATGATAGTATCATACCCCTTTCTGAGGTACGCTTTTGCCAACGTAGGTTCCAAGTCGATGGCTTTGTTCGCATCTGCAACAGCGTCTGTCCATGGAGAACCACAAAAGATAAAATATTAAAATTAGTGAAGAAGATGCGTGGATTCTTTGCTAAGGAACACAAAAATTTAACCTATAAACTGATGCTAAGCTATTCCTGGTCACTTATTTTTAAAAAAAGTTCAAATTTTTACTCACTACAAAGAAGCAAAATCCAATAAGGTTATTGAACAGGAATCAAGTAGCTACAGGGACAGATTACGAGTAAAGATTGTGACATGAAGCATAAAAAGTTAAAATTACTCAAAAACTCGCAAAAGAACCCTAACACTAATCTAAACCCCATATGCAAAATCAGGTTCCTCTGTAAAAGATCGAATTACGAACGAGAAGACAAAAACCCCCAGAACTCACGAAGAAGAATCCGTCTAATTAATTTACGAGATTTATGGGTGATTTTAGGAAACGAAGAGAATACCAGTGAAGTTATCGATTTTGATGTTGGCCTGAGCACGATCGGCGAAGAAGGCGGCGCAATTGGGATCTAAGTCAATGGCTTTCGAGTATAAGTCAACAGCGACATCGAAGTCGTCATCTAAGAAAGCCTCTTTAGCTTTCTCCGCCAATTCCTTCGCCATTGAATGGATTCTTTTCCGGATTTGAGTATACGAAGGGAGGAAGAAGACGGATTATAGAGAAAGAGACCGATCCTGGATTTTTTGTTTTTTGAGCCTTGCCTTCGAGTTAGAACGCTTTTAATCCTTTATTAGGTTATTTAACAGAGAAATAAGAAAAAAGAAAAAAAAGAAATCTTCCATTATCCAGATTTCAACAAATACTAGTTGCAAAAAAATTATTAGTAAAGATTCAATAATTGTTATTTCTAAATAATATTTATTTTATCATATAAAATCTAACGTCTTATCGTGATAATACTATTCATAAATAGGATAAATATAATCATGACAATATATCATCACTAATTTAGATTATGATTTGAGTCAATATAATAATAAAAACTTTCCAAATAATAAAAAAAGAAAAGGAAGATTGTTTTATAAATAAATTAAAAACTAATAAAATTAAAATAATTAAAAAAATGAATTAAAAAATATAACTTATTAAATCCATATGATTCATAATATACCAAATTAAGAAATATTGATTTTATAGTTAAAATCAGCTTTAAGCTATATAAGATTTGAAATTTGATTATCAGATATATTATCATTTAATTGATTCATTGTTATGTTTTCTTAATGAATGTTACTTAGATTTAATAATTTATATTTTTTTATTTTTTCTATTTGTATTTTTTTTTATTCTCATATTTTAGTTTTTTCGATTTTATTAGTTTTCATTTTTTAAAACACAGTTTTTTCTTATTTTATTATTTATTAAATTTATATTATTATATTAATACATGTCATGATCTAAATTAATAATAATATATATTACTATTTTCGAATTTATAATTGTTTTATGTGTAATACTCACATTGAACATAATCAACTTGATATAATAAGATAAGATCTATTCATAATTTGATATATGATATTTTCTTACAATCTTCTCATTATATAATATTAAATATTTCAATGTGAATGTGGCAACTGGCACACAAAATAATTATAACTCATCAAATCGTAACATGTGTTATTGTTAATTTTTATCGTGTTGTCAATGTAGAAATATAAATTTCTTATTATTTATTTATTTAAAAATAAATTATGCTTATTCAAATGAAAATTACTAAAATAGAAAAAATAAAATAAGAACAAAATACTAAAACTACAATATAATGGTAATTATGTTTTTGGAACCTTATCATATTTATTTAGACAAATTATTAATAATATGAATTAATTTCTAAACTGTAATTATAAAATATTATTTGTGGATAACATAACACGTTTTTAATTTATAATCTAATATAAAGAGCATAATTATACGAATTATTAATTTTAAATTATGAATATCTTATAATGTTTTTGCTTATCACGCGGAACCTAATCTAATTTGTATAAATGTGATATGTGTCAACACTTTATTAGATTATGATATATGTTAATAATTTATACCATATATATGTTTCACTTATAACTATATATTTTTATAAAATTATTCAAGTTTTTTTGTTTTCTATTTTGTTCCAAAAGATTAATATTTTATTTCAAAATTTCAAACTTATTGATTTGATACTTTATAATTTTTTCTAAAAAGAGTTTCATGAAAAAATTAGAAGATAATTATCAATTTTGATTTAATGGAGAATGATATGTAAAAAAAAATTACAATGTAAAAAAAAAACTTTACAATTAATCCAAACAAAATATTTTCTTAAGGTTTTTGTAGTCAAAATCTACTTCATCTCATCATTTTCAGCAACAAGATGCAGTAACTTGGGAATTCTTCAGCGGACTGTTCTATCTGTAGTGGAAAACTCGCACTGTTGAGGAACTGTTTGGTGACATTGAGAATTGTTCGACAACGTCTACATGAGAGAACTGGTTCGACGGCATTTGGATGGGGGATTTGTTTGGTGGCGTTTGGGTGAGGATTTCATCTTAGGTTTAATGACTTTTTCTGCGATCTTGAACATTTTAGAACTCAACCTCTTGCAAATCTTCTACATGCAGTAGACTCGATTGGATTGAGATGCTCTTCAATGGTGGGCTCAATTGCTTCAGGATGCTCGATGAGAATAAGCCCAATGAAATATATGTCGATGATATGAAAATCTTCAGTCCATGTAAAAATATTTGACTAATGCTATATACAAGCAACATAGTAAGATGTTTAGAAGATTAGCTAGTTTATTGATTCATACAATATAACATAACACACACCAAGCTTTCAACCAACATAAATTTATTTGATTGTTTGACACAAGTTATGCACATAATTATAAACATATATTCATACAAAGTTATGTGGACAAGAAAGAAAAAACAATACATTCACCAAAGATCATTTACTCATAGTGGAAAGCAGAATATAACTTGAAACATATACATATCCATACAAAAGCTAAACATACAGCCACAAAATCCTACTAATAATATCATTTCAGCTCTTCTTGCACCACATTCTTTTTTGCACCACATTATAAGAGTGTTATTTTTGTTAAAAAGTATACGAGATAAGGGAAGCTTTCTTAAACATGTAGTACATAGAGTGTGTGGTTAGTTTTGAACTTTTGATGAAGTAAATGATCCAAATTTAACTCCATTTTCAATGAATTTGTGACTGGCAAGTAAATTGCTTTGATTCCACTTGATGAAACAAAAAAGTGCATTGCCTCTACAATGGATAAAACATTGGTGTGATGATCATCAATGTTTAACACATGATAAAGAATAAATTTTATGGGGGTTGAAGGTCTATAAATACTAGTATTTAAAGGTAATTAAAAGATAGGTATACTTGTATTTATAGATAAAAGATAGGTTAAAAGTTAATATTCATTATGTTTCTAAAGTTTTTTTATAAATTATATTTTGTAATATATCAAATATGAAATGAGGTATAAGAGCTAATTTAAGTGTTATTGATTTATGTATGTTTAATTTGTAATTTTAAGTTTATAATATATTTAATAAATGTAAATATATTTTATCGAAAGACGTAACCGTAATTTTCTCAAGGCTATTTCAACTTCTCTACCAAAAGCGACCATTCTCCATTTCTCCATTGTTTCTGGCTGGCGTTGGTTTCTCCGACGCGGTTTGCTTTCCTTAGTTTATTCATATAAAGTCGATTATGTCAATTCTATCGCCTCGTCGACACAAACCCATCTGAGATCCATCAATGCATCTGATTCGTTTGTGGTTCTCTCTGATAATTCATCTCCAAGATGTTCTTCTCAGTAACTCTCTTCTTCGAGAGAGTGCTGTTCCGGCCGTAATCCGGCAAAAGTCCAAGATCAATATTGCCGGTTTCATTCCGTGGGAATTTCTCCATGCGGTTGTAGTTTTCTTCAACAAGTATATCCCTTCATCTTTGAAACTTTATCTCTCCACCGTATAATCTGGTTATGTTTACCCATACATTTGAAAAGTTCAAAATTTTCTGAATTTGGACTATCCAAATCGAGAGAGCAATTTCATATCCAGTTTTGGGATCCATGAATATTCATTGTAGAAAGAACATTGACTGTGAAAAGTAGTCTGGGAAGAAATCTAGAAGCCATAGATGGAACTATTGCTAGAGCTTTATAACAAATTGGAGAAAAAGATGATGTTTGAAGATTTGATGGGTATTGGTCAAACCGGTATGCATAGGTGAATTTCGGATTGAAATCTTTTTTGCATGATCAGGTTGGGTATTTGCAGGCGGATATTGCATATCTTATCGAGTTTTAGAAGACATGTTCCAGATTCATCACCAACAATATTTAGTTTTATCTTATTAATCAAAGTAATGTCAAGTGCATTTTGGAGTTTTATCAGCAAGATAATAGCTGATAAAAAGTGTATAAAAGGGGGGACATAACAGATTTTGTGTGTTAGCTTATAAGATTACGAAAAGATAGCATGATTATTCTTTATCTTTTCATCGAAATTGTTTTAATTTCTTTTATTTGCGTTAATGGTTCTATTGAAAATGTTACTGTATCTTATAAATATATTAATATATTTGATTTGTCGTAGAAAAATATATTTAATAAATGTTTGGTCAGAAGTTTTATACATCTAGAACATGTTCAATTTAAGTGGTGTCTCAACACATATTTCAAAAATGGTTTTGTGTTAATAGTATATTCTTTAATCACAAAAAAGAGAATATTTTGGTTTAAAAAGTGTGATGTAAGTAAAACCTTTTTTGTGATCATAGTGTACAAATCGTGAAACCGCGTTTGCAAACGTTAGAGAAAATCAATTTATTCATGCCTATAAGGAATAAACGTCATGTAATTTGCGTCTGTACCAAGTACTACAGTACAAACCAAAAAAAGTTGAGCTCTTTACAAACGGCCGTTACTCTGCCGTGATCACTACAAACGTCGTCACAATTCCGTCTTCTTGTTCTTCCTTCACCCTGACTCGCTCACTGACTCAGTTGGGTGCTTTGTATCGCGTGATTCGGGCCGGTCAGCACTAAACTCGGCCGATGAAGTGCCGATCCGTCGCGTGCCTATGGTCTCGAGCGCCTCCATCTCATCGAGTCACCGCCACAGCCGCTCTGACCAATCCCCCGACTCTTTACACCGGCGGATCCGATGGGTCTATCATCTGGTGGAGTATCTCTTCGTCCGAGTCCAATTCGGTAACTCGTCTCGCCTCATGCTTGCTCAATCAATCGTTTTCTGAATGTTTATGGTCTTGGTTAAACTTTGATTTACGATCGAATCAAATCAAGTTTCTCTTCCGAGCTGATCTCTTAGCACATTGTTATACATTATTGTTTTGCTTAAGATGATCTAGTATAACACTCATAATGAGGATAACTCAGATGCATCAAGCTCAAATTCTCTTTGGTAATCTTTTGTTTGCTTTCTCATCTCAATTAGGCTTTTTTTTTATCTATCAGGAAGTTAAGCCGATTGCTATGTTGTGTGGCCATGCTGCACCTATAGCAGATCTCGCTGTTTGTGATCCCACCACAGTTTCAGGAAAGGGAGTTACATCAGATTGTTCAGATAGTTGTAATGCGGACCCATTTGTTGATTGTAGTGCACTGATCAGTGCTTGTACTGATGGTGTACTGTGCGTATGGAGCAGAAGCAGTGGCCATTGTAGGCGTCGAAGAAAGTTACCTCCTTGGGTGGGAAGCCCGTCGATTTTGTGTACTTTGCCATCAGAACCGAGATATGTATGTGTTGGGTGTTCTTATATTGAGAGCCATTCTCTAGATACTGTTGATGGAGCTGAAGCTGTAGCAGATACAGATTTTCAGAACAGAAAACCGTCGAGATGCACTGTGGTTGTTGTGGACACTTATACTCTTACGATTGTTCATACAGTTTTCCATGGGAATTTATCTATTGGCCATTTAAAGTTCATGTGTGTGGTTCAGTTGGAGGAACAGGAATCATTGCTCATGGCTGATTCATCTGGTAGGCTGCAATTGGTTCCAGTGTCAGAGAACTCTGAGAAGGGTGAAGATGTATCTGAATCGAGCAAAGGCTCTGTCGTGTCTAGAAACTGGTTAAATAACGGGGAAGTAGCTATATCAGTAATAACTCGAGGGAATCTTGTTGCTCTTTTCTCAAAGAATAGGAGTGTCTTTTGGTTGTTGAATCAAGGGGAGGCAATAGGAGAGATATCTTTCGTAGACAACTCGTTTTCTTCCGATTTTCATTTCAAAGAAGCAGTGTTAGTTTACTCTAGTACATCAGCTACCGAAGGTGATAAAGATGATATAATTTCTGAAACTTTTGTGCTTTGGGATGAAAATGGTTCTGCTGTGTTGTTTGATATGTCGTATATAGATGGTGAATTTACATATAAGAACCGTGGTGAGATTGTTACTGCCTCTGATCAGCATTCAGAAAAATCATCGTTTTGTTTTGTACAGTTGAGGCAGTATCTTCTTCGCGTTGAGTCTAGCTGTTGTGATATTGAACAACCTTTTCAGTGGAGGCCCCATATAACTGTCTGGTCACTCTCCCTAGGAAATGGTGATGAAAAAGAACTCCAGCTTCAGTGCAAAATGCTTGGAGAAGGATCATATTTTACTGATTGGATTTCAAGCTCTTGTTTATATCGTAAGGGCTCGATTGGTGTAGAACCTGGTATTTCTCATTTAGGAAGTCAATGCACTACCGAAAATGATCTACGAAGCTTTGTTAGTGACAGTGGACAGTGTGTGTCAGCTTCCATGGTTATTTCAGAGAACATGTATGTCCCATATGCTGTTGTCCATGGTTTCTTTAGCGGTGAAATAGAAATTGCAAAGTTTGATTTTCTTCATGGACTTGATTCACCTGCTTCAAGCCCGAGATCAGACACTGATTCACTTGTCTCTAAGCAGCATCTCTTGGGACATACAGGAGCTGTTCTATGCTTAGCAGCGCATCGAATGCTTGGGTCTGCAAAAGGATGTAGTTCTTCTCATGTTTTGATATCTGGAAGTATGGACTGCACCATCCGCATCTGGGATCTTGAGAGCGGCAATGTAGTCATGATCATGCACCAACATGTTTCTCCGGTGCGCCAAATCATTCTTGCACCCGCTCGAACAGAATACCCATGGAGCGATTGCTTTCTATCTGTTGGGGATGATTCATGTGTTGCTCTTTCTTCTCTTGAGACATTACGGGTCGAAAGGATGTTTCCTGGGCACCCAAACTATCCTGAAAAAGTCGTTTGGGATGGTACAAGAGGCTACATTGCATGTCTTTTCCGCTCCCTTTCTAGGAAATCAGATCCAATTGATGTTTTGTACATATGGGATGTAAAGACAGGTGTTCGAGAACGTGTTCTCCATGGGGCAGCTTCACATTCCATGTTTGATCATTTTTGTGCTGGCATTAGTGCGAAATCTCAATCTGGCTCTGTGTTAAATGGAAATACATCAGTTTCCTCTTTACTTTTCCCAGTAGATGAAGAGAGGAAACCATTTTATTTAAAGAACTACGAGAGAGCAGGCTTTTTGCCAACATCTAAGCCAAGTGCTTCACAGGAACAGACTGGAGAAGAGAGTTCTAGTGTTTCATCTTTTTTCCAAAGCATCGGATACACTCCCATCAAATGCGCTTGCCCGGTCCCTGGAATCTCTACGCTGATTTTCGATCTTTCGTCTTTAGCAGTTTCTTGCCAAACACATGAAGACTCTGAATTACATAAGATACCAGAAGAGAGTAGTGGTAAGCCGACCGCGCAACAGAAGACTTCAAACAACAAGTCTCCTGTCCAGAAGACTGTAGATAACCCTGCAGAAGTTGTTCACATGGACAAGGCAATTGGGGAATATCTAATTCGATTTAGTTTATCCTTTCTGCATTTGTGGGGTATAGATTCTGAACTCGATCAAATGCTAATAGCACATCTAAAGCTAAAAAGACCAGAGAGTTTCATTGTAGCCTCCGGTTTGCAGGGGGACAAAGGGTCATTGACATTAGCATTCCCGGGTTTAAATGCAACACTTGAGGTATTCCTAGTGACTTATATTGATGTCACAACCGCACATATTTCAACAATATCCTACTTTTTCTAAGAGTTCATAGAACATTCCAGCTCTGGAAATCATCTTCGGAGTTTTCTGCGTTGAGGTCACTGATGATGGTGTCGCTTGCTCAGTGCATGATAAGTCTGTCACATTCCACTGCCACAGCTAGCAGGTACAGCATGTGGTCTTTGGAACCAGTTCTCTTCTTTCGAAGGTTTTTCACCTTCATATTTTACTCCGAATGTCAAAACAATTTTCGTTTTCTTACAGCACCTTGGCAGCATTCTACACACGGAATCTGGCAGAGAGATATCCTGATCTGAAGCCACCGTTACTCCAGGTGAGTTCTTCATTCTTCACCATATAGGCATATAGTATGGTATAATCACAACAGAGCTAAGATTTTCTCTGTTTGCGTCTTGTCTTTATTGTAGCTTTTAGTAACCTTCTGGCAAGATAGAAGTGAACAAGTCCGTATGGCTGCTCGGTCTATATTCCACCACACTGCTTCTTTGGCAATACCTCTTCCGTTATGCAGCGATTACGCATCAGAACACGCAAAATTGGTGAGATCCCTATCTGGAATCAATATGCAAGAACCTAAAGCTCTTAGCTCAGAAGAAGAACAGCCCACAAACAGTTTGGACTCTGAGCATAACCATGAAGCTCAACGGCTTTCTCAGGCAGAGGAGTCGGAGCTACTCTCCTGGCTTGAGTCTTTTGAAATGCAAGACTGGATTTCTTGCGTTGGTGGAACAAGTCAGGACGCAATGGCGGCTCACATCATTGTCGCGGCTGCCTTATCAATCTGGTATCCAAGCCTTGTTAAACCTGGTCTAGCCATGCTGGTCGTCCACAAATTGTTGAACCTGGTTATGGCCATGAGTGAGAAATACAGCTCTACTGCTGCGGAGCTTCTCTCAGAAGGAATGGAGACTACATGGAAACTGTTGATCGGACCTGATATTCCTCGGATAGTTTCAGACATATTTTTCCAGATTGAGTGTGTGAGTTCCTCAGTTGGGGCACATCAAGCTGTACCATCGTCTATAAAGGAGACTCTGGTCGAAGTTCTTCTTCCGAGTTTAGCAATAGCAGATGTCCTTGGGTTTCTAAGTATAATAGAGAGCCAAATATGGTCCACAGCTTCTGACTCTCCTGTTCATGTAGTATCTCTCAGAACTCTCATCAGAATAATCCGTGCTTCTCCGAGAAATCTGGTGCTGCATCTTGACAAGGTTCGTTGCATCTAATTTTACATTCGATGAGAGTTGAGATTTTTCTGATGTTTGTCTGTAGAGAGATTTGAATTACAGTTGGGAAAAGCTTGCAGGTAGTTAACTTTATTCTTCAAACGATGGACCCAAGCAACACCGTCATGCGTAAAACTTGCGTACAAACCTCAATGGCTACGCTGAGAGAAGTTGTGCGTGTATTTCCAATGGTAATCCTAAATGATTCATCAACAAGATTAGCAATTGGCGATGCTATCACAGAGATCAACAATGCATGTATCCGCATATATGACATGCAAAGGTACAAAACCTTACATGCTTTGGTGTTTTTGTCCCACCTTTATCTCGGTTTCTTAGTGGTTTTGTGTGATTCTAATTGCAGTATGACAAAAGTAAGGGTTTTGGATGCGAGTGGACCTCCTGGTCTTCCAAATTTGCTCAGAGGAGCTTCAGAATCTGCGGTAACAACCGCTATATCAGCTCTCAGCTTTTCACCAGATGGAGAGGTATACATGATTTATACAAATTGCAACTTTTTCACTACTGCAAACTGATGTAGAGATCCTAAGAATAAAATCTCTGTCAATGGTAGGGGTTGGTTGCGTTTTCAGAAAACGGGTTGATGATCAGATGGTGGTCACTAGGATCTGTTTGGTGGGAGAAACTAAGCCGAAGCCTCACACCTGTTCAATGTACAAAACTGATATTTATGCATCCATGGGATGGTTTTTCATCGAACTCAACTCGGACAAGTGTGATCTCAAGCATCACAAGCCATGAGCAAGAACTTCCTCTTCAGGTAAGTTAATTGTTATCATCATCATCATCTAATCGCCAAAACTCAGCAATCACTTTATATGGCGGCTTTAACTCTGTCGTAAACTGATATCTATTCTTTTCGGTATGATTCGAACAGGAAACCTCAAAGAACATAAGCCACGCAGAGCGGCTAAAGCAGCTTATACACCATCTTGATCTCTCTTATCGCCTCGAATGGGCCAGTGAACGAAAAGTAGTTCTAACAAGACACAGTATTGAGTTGGGCACTTGCTTATTGTAAGTTGTAACAGCGAAAGTAATCAACTGTAAGAATTCAGTCAGTCTTAATCCATTCTTCTCTTTTTGCTTGAAAGTTTTTTTGGCAGCTTTCCAAGAATAGCAAATTACTAATACTGAGTCAATATTTTATAATATATTGAAATATTACATGAAAGAAATATGTTGAATTAGATAATATTATTCAAATTTTCTGGACAAGATTGTTACCGGAAGACTTTGAAGCGTAGATGCTCTGTTCTGATTTTTGCTTCGAAGATACTTAAAACTTAAAAGAGAACTTTTGAGATATTGACTGTTTCCTTATTTGACGACATTAAAAATGTGTTTTTTTTTTTTCCAAGTTTCAGGATTTAATTTTATCATCAAAACATATGCTACATGAGATAAAAACGTATGTCACATTTGGCGTGTTTGATTCACAAGATGAATCAGGCAGTTTTCTGCATATTCTCTTTTTATAAGAAGTTTAGCATTCCCTCACTAAAAATAATCAATCTCTCTATATAGTCAATTAGGTCCTTTTTTTTTAAGTTGGTCAGATGATCAGAATGACAATAATAAAAACAGAAATGTTAGAAAAGTCTAAATATAATATTTATTTTTAGGGATAAATTTCACAATGAACAACGTATATCTTTTTGGATAATATGATTTTTCATTAGCAAATTTGAATAATGTTCTATATGTGTGAGAGACATATGCATATCCAGTTCTCTCATTGGAAATAGAGATATTTTTTTGACATACTTAACTGACATAACCCTACCTACCATGTATTACATATCTAGGAAATCTTCCCTTATGTCGTATATTTTGTTAACAAAAATAACACCATTTAAATGTGGTGCAAGAAAGAATGAGATTAGTAAAGAGTTTTATGTTTGTCTGTGCGTTTATGAGTTTATAAAGAAGGAAATCAAGATACGAACTGAAATAATATTATAAGTATGTTTCTATGGTTATATGTTTGGTTTTTGTGGGGTGGGGTGGGGGGGCATGTCTATGTTTCAAGCTATTTTCTGCTTTTCATAATAAATGAATGAACTTTGGTTACTGTAAATGTTTTTTTTTTGGTTGACAAAACTTTGATAAGAATATGTACTATATATTAAGTACTGTATGTGTATAATTTGTGCCAAATATACAAATTAGTTTGCATTGGTCCTAAGCTTAGTGTGTAGTTAAGCTACATAATTTTGGGTTTGCATTGATGCTTCTTTCAGTTACGACGTACCTCAGAAATTCTCCGACAGTGATGCTGAACGTGCATTTTGCCAGGTTCAGCTTCATTCCGTATTGGTTGAGGACGTCGTAGCATGCAGAAAAGTGGCTGACATAATCTCCAGTGATGAGCGACTTGACCAACATATATCAATATACATTTCCATCATTTTGCCTAAGTTTTAAGTTATTTTCTGGCTTTTGTGTGGGGGTATGTCTAAGTTTCAAGCTATTTTGTGCTTTTCTGATTCTCACTAGATATACTCCTAGTTTCTACTGCAATAGAACAGTGATGTAGTTGTAATATAAAAGATTCGGAATCCAGAGGACCAGTGTTACTCTATGAATTTGTGAGGATTGAATTAAAGCTAAGACGAAAGATGGTTTGTTTCGAAAACTAAAAAGTAAACAGAATGGCAAACAACGATTTAAATTCAAATTAAAACAAGCACTAGACCAAAGCAATTCGCAGAAATTTCAGAGATAAGAACCAGATGACTATTCAGGGCACAAGTGTAACACAAGTCTCGAACTCAAACAGAAAAGCTTATCGATCCACTGTCGTGATCTCGATAACTTTGTCTAACAACCTAAATCCTAAACTGTCGTTTGAATCTAGAAAATTGCAGACAAGCATTAGCTAGCAGGTTTGATCTGTTCACAATTTGCCTTAACTTCAACTGTCGTTGGCTAAGGACAAATCGCTCACCAATGTTTATTCTAGCAACCTATTACACTTTTGATGAACAGATTAACCTAAAATCGCAGATTGAGTGATCAATTCAACCTAAGCATTAAGTCTAACAATGGTGAAGACAATAGATATCAAGCCCTATTTGCATCTAATCCTTTAACTCATGAAATCCTTTGAACGCTTTAATCTAGCTAAGAGATCTACTCAGACATGGAGAAAAGAAACACAGAAACAGATGGAAAGGAATTCATGAATTAAAATCGCAGAAGAGATAATAGGGTTCAGAATTCTTCTCAAAGTGTAGCAGATTTCTTCTCCCAAAAGCTTACAAGTAAAAACTCTATGGTTCAGGAAATTGTAAAAAGAAAGCGTATAAAGTCTGTAGAAAAACGTGATTCTAAAACACAGGCGGCTCTGGGCTTTTTATTCTCTTTCTGATCCCAGAATTAGGTAAAAATCGTTTTCCTTATTTTTCTCCCGTCTGGAGCAGGTGCTCCACGAAGGGTCCAAACCGGGAGCAGGTGCTCCGGGGATGATTTCTCCAAAAACGTGTGAAATAGCTCCTTATTGCTCAAATTCATCTCTTTTTGCTCTAATGCCTCCTAAACACTCCAATCCTTTGATAAGGCCTCTAAGTCACCTGAAACTTCCTGAAAAGACTCCAAAAACTCCTAAAACAATCAGTAAACACAAGTTAGAATGAGTCAAAATCTCCACTCATCAACTCCCCCGAACTTGAATCCTTGTTTGTCCTCAAACAAACTCAAATTCAACTCCAAAAGAATGACTGGATAAAGCTGGGAACTCGCAAAACTCAAAAGACCGTAAACCCGACCAAGACATGTGACAATCTGCTGCAAAATCAATCAAAAATCTAACCTCCATATACTTCTCCGTACGCTGCAGCTTTCCAGGTTAGTCCCTCAATTTCATAACATCATCCATGTCCCATCATCGCTGAGTCTCATCGATAAAACCAGTGCTAAGGACCTTCTAGACTCGTTCCCATACTTATACCTCAACAAATTGACCATACTACACAAAAGTACCTTTCCTCTCCCCCGAACTTATTCACTTTTCAAGCTGTTTCGTTTTTTTTTTTTTTTTTTTTTCGGCACATATAACAAGGTTCAAAGACGCGAGTATTGATGGTGATTGCCACCGAATCCCCGGTTTGTCCCCTCATCATATATCAAAGGTGTAGGCGAATAATGGGGTCACAGGAAATTTTCCTACCCCTCGCTTCCATCCCTTGTGTGATCATTCCACTTTAGAAGTAAAATAATGGGATCCTTGGAAATTTTCCTAACCCTTTACTTCTAAAAGAAAATCATTTCAATCTTTTCTGCCTTTTGATCATATTTTTTTTTTTTAGAAACAGCCTGAAACAATGCTTAGAACATAAGAGAGGAATACCAAATCTATCACACAGGTCTTTATTTGTCAGGTAAGAATGAGGAGTCAAGCCCTATGAGCACTAACCTGATCGATGAGGAAAATGAAAAGCTGAAAAATTAGCTCAGGTTCATTGGATGTGTCAAGAATTTTGGGCTCCTCTAGTCTACTGCTTTGTCTTTGGATTTTCCATTAGTCGATCTAGATGATTCTGCAGCAATAATCACTAGAAGAAGATGGTCAAGATTCACAAATGGTCTGAAATCATCATAGAATTGGTCCTCATTCCCACAATCTTTGACTTGACTCATATAACAAACTGACTCAAAGAAACAAAATAACTCAAAGAAACAAACTAAAACTGACTCAAAGAAAGTACTAAAAGGAAGAAAGCAAAAGAAAGAAGTACAAGGGTCATGATCCTCCCCCGAACTTACTTCACACTGTCCCCGGTGTGAAAATAAGCTAGAGAAGTGTCCAGAAAACTTACCTGGTTCGCACATGTAGAGCACCCTGGCGGAGCAGGTGCTCCGGAACAGAGCTGGGTGCTCCCTCGTCTTTTTTACGTGGTGAGCACCCTGTGGAGCAGGTGCTCCGACTGGGGAGGGGGTGCTCTTTCGTCACTTTTTACGTGGTGAGCAACCAACCCAGCAGATGGAGCAGGTGCTCCGGTTGGGTGCTCTTCCTTCTTCTTCCTCACATCTTCTCTTCCACGTTGAACAACTTCTTACCTTTTTTTTTTTTTTTTGAAAACAAAGAACCTAAAAACAAAGTTAGTAGCTAAGAATTGAAAGACACAAAGTTAGAGACTCTTACCGGTGGGTTGCCTCCCACCAAGCGCTTGTTTTAAGTCATTAGCTTGACTTGGAAAGCCATTTAGGCTTGAGGAGGATCGCTTAGGGTGACTGATTGACCTTCTGCGATATTTGGACCAGCAAGGTATGGTTTCAACCTCTGTCCATTGACAACAAACTCGCCTCCTTTAGTGTCCAGCAACACTACAGCTCCATATGGTCGAACCTCCTTGATGGTGAATGGTCCAGACCATCTCGATCTCAGCTTCCCTGGAAACAATTTCAATCTAGAGTTAAAGAGCAATACATGATCGTTTGGTGCAAAGCTTCTGTTGAGGATCCTCCTGTCATGGAAAGCTTTTGTCCTCTCTTTGTAAATCTTCGAGTTTTCATATGCCAGGTGCCTAATTTCCTCCAGCTCATGCAACTGCATTACTCTCCTCTCCTGAGCACTCCTTGCATCGAAATTCAGCAGCTTCACTGCCCAAGCAGCTTTGTACTCAAGTTCCACTGGAAGATGACATGCTTTTCCATACACCAAGTGGAATGGTGTAGTCCCCAAAGGTGTTTTGTAAGCTGTTCTGTATGCCCAAAGAGCATCATCAAGCTTCACTGCCCAATCCTTCCTTGTGGTGCTCACAGTCTTCTGCAGAATGTTCTTGATTTCCCTGTTGGAAACCTCAACTTGCCCACTCGTCTGAGGATGGTATGGGGTCGCCACCTTATGCCTTACACCATTCTTCTTCAACAAGTTTTCAAAGACTTTGTTGATGAAGTGAGAGCCTCCATCGCTAATCACCACTCGCGGCACACCAAACCTGGGAAAAATGACAGATTTGAACATCTTTAAAACCACCTTTGCGTCATTTGTGGGACTAGCCAGAGCTTCCACCCACTTTGACACATAGTCAACTGCCACCAGAATATACTCATTCCCATAAGATGATGGAAAAGGTCCCATGAAGTCTATACCCCACACATCGAAAATCTCTACTTCCAAGATGAAATTCTGAGGCATCTCATTCCTCCTGCTGATGTTCC